TGGTTTGGTGAAACTCGTCTCTGTTTTGGCTCATGCTCTGCTGGCACAAGCAGAGCGTGTTAGTTTGATGCTGCCTCACTCAGTAGGGCCTGTTGTTCCCAAGCTGTGACCACGAGGCCCTCAGTTTGAATCTGATCACCTCGAAGCACATGTAAGTTTGGGTTTGTGTACTGGTCAGAGAGAAAACAAGACTTTATGCGGAAAGTGACACACAAATCAGCATCTGTTAGTCTGCTGGAGTGTGTCAAGAAGGAAGCAGATTTGTATAAAGTCAGCCCGCCATGCCTGGCGTGTAAGTGTGTGGGTGGATAAGTATGAGCCTGTTTTTGTATTTTTATTGTACAAAGCCCCTTCATGAATGCAAAACTGCATTTAAAGAGCAGCAAACTAGCCGTTTTGCATGGCAACACGATACAGCACCCAGTGCTTTTGCGCGGCCTTGTGCATGTGGCTTAAATAAGTGGCAAAGAGGCAGAGGAAAATAAAATTCCCCACAATCTGCTTGTGTGTTGTTGCTTTGATTCCTAAATGTTTGAAGTCAGGCCTAGTTAAAGTCCTCTGTATAGTAGGCTCAGGCTAATTATACTGGAGACCCAAACTGCATTTTTTTCCGTCTGTTCTCTGCATTCGTCACATCGCATGTTTCTGACACCATTAATGGCCAGTTGAAAACCACGCTAGATATGGGACGCATAAGAATGGGACACGTAGGAATGGGACAGTTGGCTATAAATAAAAAATAAATCAGTAGATAAATAAATAAGCCAATAAATAAATGCCACGTTTATGTGGGGTAGTAGAAAGTTGGAGTAATTTGAGCATGACAGTGAACTTTTAGATGCTCCTTTTAAAGGGGAATTCCATGTTTTTTCAAAATGTCTGCGTAATTTAATGGGTAAGATGTAAAGAATGTCATTCAGAGGGGTTTGATGTGAAATGCAACATTCTAGAGAAACTTAGAGTTGCTTCACAGTGCTGGTGTCTGAAACGCTAAGCTTTAATGTAGAATGTTATTACATGAAATGATTACTTATACATTATCTGATGCTTAAAACATTGTTTTATGATAGTTTTATAATAGTTTTATGGTTTTATTTTTTTAAAGCCATTGCTGGCAGAGAGCTACATTCAGGGCATGCGAAGGTGAGATAGATAACCTCAAGGTTTACCACTGTTTATCCATTTAAGACAGTACATATAATAACTCAAAAGACTTGTGAAGGTTCACTGGTCATTTTGGATAGTAAATAAAATTGGCTACATTTGTGTTCATTGGTCATTTTGGATAGTAAATTGGCTATGTTTGTTTTGCAGACATTGCAACCCCTAGTTCATATTACCACCATTGTAAATAAATCTGGATTAGAAAGTTTCTCCACAATGCATCGTTTCACATTAAGCCACTCTGAATGACTGTTTATATCCTAACAATTGAATCCTATGGACGTTTAGAAAAAGTGGTGGAGTTAAGTGCTTTGATCAAAAATAGAGCATTTTGAAACAGTAATTTTTAAAGAAAAATGATCAAATTGGCTCAAGGTTTTAGTATAGTGGTATCAGAGAAGAAAAAGTGGAACCATCTACCATCAGGAGTCAATCATGGCATTGTTGCGAACGGTAGAGAAGAAGTGTTGATCAAAATTTGTCCCATCTGGGATTCTGCAAGTGAATGATTTGTCATATTTTCCCCAGTCATCTCAGATTTTGCCTAAAACCACGTTCTTTCCTGCTAAGCTCAACTTTGCCTTGGGCCTTGGGTCTTTTTTGGGAGTTTTTTTGCCTGTGTCCTTTTCTTGAATCTCTGGAAAAGTGATGAACTGAAAGCCTGGAAACTCTCTTACCCAATTAAGTTTTCCCTAAATTAAGTAAAAAAGAGTAATAATAATAATAAAAGTTGGAAAAAGGGGGCGTTTGCAGGGAACGTTTTGGGTGAAAGTGGATTTGGACTGAATGATGGAAATTGAAAAGTCACTGCGTGGTTTTCCTCTCGCTGGACTTGTGGAGAGTCTGTACAGACTCACACACGTGTTAGCTGAGTGTTGAACTGCATCACGCAGCTATCTGGACCGGGGAGTGCATCATGTCCTTGTTGAACCACTTTCAGATGTTGCACTGAGTTCAGTTTAGGCTGGAATAGAACCACAAAGACCCTCACGCTCATTAGAGTCCAATATGCGGAATTTAGAATTAGGATTTTATGACACTTTCAGTTGTTTGATGACATTGGTTTCTTTTTATTTTTTCTCCTCCTTATTGTACTAAATGTGGACTGTAGTTATTAGGCAGGTACAGTTCTATGCAAAAGTTTGGGCACCCCGGTCAGGTTACTTGTGAATTTATTTTCACTCAGAAAATCAACATGTTCTCTACAGAGAACGCACTTCTGCACATTTTAATGCACAATGACTGTTTATTTGCTGAGTTTAACACAATTGGGGGGGGAAAGTAACATAAAATGTGGCCTGTACAGAAGTTATGGCACATTTTGTATTTTATATTTTCATTTTTCTTGGTCTGTTAAACTAAGCAAAGAAATGGAAATTGTGCACTGAAATTTGCAGAAAAAAAATCATATTTACATTTGTACTCTAAAGGATGTGTAAATTTATTTTCACTTTAACAAAACATATAATTTGACCAGGGGTATTCACACTTTTGCACATGACCGTATTACAGACAAATATTTATGGTGCAAGTCTGTGCATGACACAGACTCAAAATACAAGCCAGTCATCTCACATCACTCACAGGTTTAATCCCCTAAACAGCAAGGGGTCCGTATGTGGGTCTACATTTCAGTTCCTCACTGTCATACCTACATAACTTAGACATTAGTTCATAGTAGTTATAGCAGTTACTGAATAAGTTATAATTAATAAGTCTTAAGTTCAATAACTCAGTAATAAGCTCAGGGTTCACAGAGTTCAGATTAATAACTGAGTAATAAGCCTGCGGTAAAGAGGTTGACTAAGGTTAAGGTTGGCATTTGCTGATATGGGACGTCACAGTGAGTTGCAGCTTATGCTCGATAGCTATATTGCAGACAGAGCACTCCATGTGTTCTTCACCTTCTTTTATCAGCCACAGTGCCAGTGATGAAACACCAGTAATACATATGACGAAATAAAAACTGAGTCAGTTTATTTGCACTAAAAGATATGCCACTGTATAAGTGTTAAGACATGAAAGGAGGGCATTCATACAGCCTCCTGTCAAGGATTGGATAGAAGCTGTATTCGTCCTCTTGTAATTGAATGAGTACGATTGGTTGCTCCGTACCCCACACCAGGCCAGGTGAAATCATTTGGATAATTTCATGGTGACATTTGCATTACAGGCATTAGGCTGTCGCCTGATGTACTCTGCACAATTCAGCATAATCATTTCAGCAGTATTTCAATATTAACAAGCAGCAGTATATTTCATATTATTAAAAAAATAATGAATTGAAGTAAATTTTGTCGAAGAGCTTTGGAAATGCATGCCACACTGTAGCTTGGAAAAATGTTGTTTTGGGAGGGAGTAATCTGTCTTCGGGCCTGAATCCTGCGCAGACAGAGATCTTGACCTTTTAACATCCTGGTTATTTGCACTGATTGCTGAGTTAAAGACAGAACTGTCAGGTTTCTCACATTGCTGGCTTCATCGGTGAAATTTAGGGGTGTAAAAGTATACATATTTTCGGGTTTGATATGATTTTTCCATTCTGAGGTCAAAGATTCAAATCAGTTTTCAATATTTTGTGTTTTAAACATGATGGGATTCCACAGAGCTCATATGCTCATATACTGTGTTATGGGTTTGACTCGGAAAAATACAAGCTTTATTTCAAAACAAAAGATTGTGAACTTACAAAACATAGCAAATCAGCTATAAACAGTATAGTCTAGGGGTGGGCGATGTGATGATATTTATTGTAATCATGATAAGTTGTATTAAATTCTGTCACAGTATGCTATTCTGATTGTAATGTTACTGACCAACCACATATGTCATTACAAAGAGAGCATAATTAGGCCTGGAATTATAATTGGAATTACATGTTTATATGTGTGATACATCACTGGCACTGCTGCTTCCTTATTTTTGTCTACTTCCAAAATAATCTGCCTTTTATCCTGCCATTTTTGACCCCCAAAATTGAAATAGGCGCATATCAATACGGTTTCGAGTACGGATTAGCTGTTTTTGAACATTTTTAATATACCATGTTGAAACTTTTACACTCTGAACGTAGCAGGGAACTGATCAAGAGTAAAGATTGTGCTGTAAAAGGCAAAAGATATAGTTATGTTTTTACACCATTTGAAACTACTAGCTGCCCTTTACATTGCATGAACGTTTTCACAGTAAATGGGCCAATAGCAACAATCCAAAATGACTTGAAATAAAGTCTTATTATATAAAAATACAGTACTGTGCAAATGTCAGAGATCACCATATTTTTTTTTTATTTGCAGTCAAAATCAGACAGTAAGTACAAGTTATTCATTTTTCAGGCGATATTTCTGAAGGCTTTATATGTAAGATTATACACCTGCATAAGCACAAGAAAAAAACAAAAGAAAGTAAGTGAAAATTAGGAGTTCCAAAATGGAAGTATGCGCAATGATTAAAAGCTATAGAGAAAATGTAACTACGTACAACTATGCAAGATCTGGTAGACCACCAAAACTGATAGAGAGAAGAAAATCAAGCTCCACTCTTGCTTCAGATCTGAAAAAATCCACAGGTGTTTCTATTTGTCCTTCCACTGTGAGACAACAGCTGAACACGTGAGTCTGAAAGTATGTGTAGCTGTCAATAAGCAGTTACTGAGAAAAGGAAACAGACAAAAAAGAAGGAAATTTGCAAAACAATCAAAGAAGCTGCTGGCTGACCCCAGAGTCCAGACTACAGCATCACTGAATGTTTTTGGGATTACTTGGATCAAGAGAAGCAAAAAATACAACCAACTTTTAAAACTGAACTTTGGAGGTATGGAAGAATGTTCCTGCAGATTTCTTTGAGAAACTGAAATCAAGTCTCCCAGAAAAGCTGCAATAAAGGCCAGGGTTGAACTCACTAAATGCTGGAGATTTTAATATTATATTAATTGTGTACTTTTCTTTACACTCTGAAAAATGAATGGTTTAATTGACTGGAAATTATAGAATCATTGGTGTACGCTACGGTCGAGACGGTTCTTTCGTTCTCCTTTGAAGTTACGACTTTACAACAGTGAATTATCTCAGAAGGCTCATGTGTTTCCTTTCAGTGTTGAGGTGGTAGAGCAGTGTTATGGCTGTGAGTCGTAGTGCTGTCTTTCATGTGTAGAAGTGGTGTTACTCAGGGCAGAAGATGCCCTCGCCAGACTGTGGCGCTTCAGATATGGTGGAATTCTGCGCGCGCGTGTGTGTGTGTAGAGTTGTCTGGCTGTGTGCCCAGGCATGCCATGTGGTCCTCAGATGGCAGTGGAATTTAAGGGGAGGGACAGACGGACCACCGCTTCTCTCCCACTGAGACAGGAACAGGAAAGGTGCTCTCTCTCTCTCTCACCTCCTGTAGCCTGTAGTCTGGCGGTTCAGTTTCTGTCGTTATATCAGCGCACACACTGCTTGAGCGCCTTCCCTCCTTCCTCCCAGGATGTGAAAGACCACCGATTACGAACACCCACGGGGGACTTAGCAAGACTACAAGTAATGAAGTTACTAAAGTTTGTGCTTAACTGATTGTTCATGCGTAGTGTAGATCAATGATTAGTGTAACGAACGCTGTTGGCATTTTTACTTTTTCTGGGATTTGCTCTTCTGTCACGTTCTAACTTATCACAAGTCACTCATTAGTTATCGCAGAGGGTGGCTGCTGGTAAATTAGCACTATATTGATTGCCTCAGGTTCTAATGCTTTAACCCTTAGAGGTTGCAGTTGTTGGCAGTGATAACCAAAGCAGAATTATTTCTCATTTGTAGCAAATAAATCTCGTAAAAAGTGTTTATTCTAAACTTTCAATCAGTGCCACATTTGCATTTGTACGTAGTAGAATTCTGTGTAGAATTAGAGTTTGACTAGATGTTATTGTGTATATAGTTTTTTTTTGCAGGGAGAAAAAACATTCTTTACATTTTTGCCATGCGTTTGTCATTTCCTGACTTCAAAACCAACAGAAATTGAATGTGAATGTAATTAATTACATTAATAACTATGTAATTAACTATTTGTACATAATTACATTGAAATATTATAGCAAAGCAACAGTAATAACTCTAGACTTCTAAGGCTTATCAGCGTTGTGGACAGAGAAAGCGAGAGTCCCCTATCAAAGCGCCAAATGCAGATGTAGTGTGAGGAGAAAGTGGCCAGTGAATGTTTAGCCTGCCCTGTTTGGAGAGGTTGCGCTAGCCTCACGTCTTGCCCCGCTGGCCGGCTGTCTCAGTCGTGGGAAAGACTGAAATTACATCGCTCTCAGGGCTGGTTATTTTCAGCCACGGCGAGAGCGGGAGAGGGCAGACGCTCGGTCCTCTGGCCCCCTCGAAACAGGACGGTCCTGTCAGCTCACGTCCCGGTAGCAGCCGCACAGCTGAGCGAGAATGCTGTGTGCCACTTCCCCAGGTGAGTGTGAACGCTCAGACAAGCCTAGGAGTTTGTGTATGTATGTGTGAGTGTGTAGCGGCTTGTAGGTCAGAACGAAGGGGGGGCAGGTCATCTCAGCCAGGCAGCTTTATTTAGACCTTCACTGCGTGATAATAAGCTTCACAGGGTAACTGTGAGACATGCAGGCAAATAGACAAATAACAAAATCATGATAATGGCTTATACGACAATAGAATGTATGTAGCCAGAGTCAGATATTGTTGAATATATAGAATAAAATGAATAAAATAATGCATATTACCAGAGTCGTGTTTTAGCTGTATTAGACATCTACTACGAAATGAAAAACTTCACGTGGTATCTATGAAACATGCAAGCTAATGTTCAAATGAAACTAAATCATGATAACAGCTTATACTACCTTAAAACATATATATATATATATATATATATATATATATATATATATATATATATATATACATATATATATATATATATATATATATATATATACGTATGTATGACATATGTATGTATATGTGTATATATATATATATATATATATATCGAAAGTCAGATATTGCAAGCTATTGTTGAGATGTATATAGAAAGTCTAAAGTTTTATTTAGCTTAAGCTTTATTTAGACCTGCACTATGTAATGATAAACTTATCAGGGTAACTATGAAAAATGTGATGTTAGGTTTAAATGAAATGAAATCATAATACCAGCTTATACTACTTTAAAAACATATTTGTGCAAAGTCAGATATTGCCAGATATTGTTGAGAAGTAAGTCCTGTTTTAGCTGCTTTATTTAGACCTGCACTATGAAATGTTGATCTGCACAAGGTATCTTTTGAGACATGTGACCAAATGTTGAAATAAAGTCTTGATAACAGTTTATACTGCTTTAAAATGTATGTATCCAAAGAGAGATACTGCCAGATATTGTTGAGAAGTATAAAGAAAGACCAAAGTCCTGTTTTAGCAGCTTTATTTAGACCTGCACTACATAATGATAAGCTTTTCAGGGTAACTATGAGACATCTGAGCAAATGTACAAAGGAAGCTAAATCATGAGAGCTGAACTACATTAAAGCATATATAGGTAGAGTCAGATATTGTTTAATTAAATATAAAGGACCGATGTGTGTATATAACCTGTATGAGCAGTATTGTTCATGTTACTCTTAATAATGTCATACTGTGTGTTCAGCGGACGACAGCTTCATTAGACAATGACTAGGCAGATAATATAGCCTGCTTCTCAGCTGTTAGTGACTCAGGCATTGTTTAGGCAGCGATAAACGGGGACAACACACTGTGCTCTGGGCTTGAAAACACACGGGCACATGCTGACTCACTCAGGCCCCTACTGGGCTCTGTTAACATTTAACCCAAACGTGTGAACCAGCACCCTGCAACACTGAGTATATAGAGGGAACAGGGCGAATTATTTAGCCCCAGAAAGCCGGTGAACCCAACAGAGAGAGAGTGTCCATCCACATGTATTTATATCTCTGTTAAATAGATTAGACAGACTGAGGCTGCGCAGTATATTGTTCATTAATCATTCGCATGGCTTTTGCAGTACTGATATCACAGATAAGCTATGTGCAGATGAGTCCACTAACCAGTCACCAAATTAACCCATCTGTGCTCCGCCCAATGCGTTTTTTTTTGTAGTGACTGTTATAAGATTGGACAGGCTTCACAGAACGTAAAAAAAACGACATTCAGTTTGGGATCCTGAGGAGCGCAACCATCCAAACCATCTACGCTGAGTTTCCATCTATTGTGATTGTCAATCAAGTTGGATGATTTAAATGTCAGAAAATTCACCACCGGCAACTTTACAGTAGACAAAAGTAATATTTGTCCTGTGATCTGTTTTAATTTAATGCGTAGTCCATGTTCCAAATTAACCTTGAGATGTTATACGCTGTCTGGCTTCAGAACATTGTGTAGCAGCGAGAGGTAGCGCTTTTTTCCACCTGTAGTTGTGCTTGTTAAACTGAAAGCTGTACTGCAACCAGCCGCTCACAGAACACCTTTCCCCACAAAATATTAACGAGGGCTCAAATCTTTTTGACGCCAAAGTTAGTAAAAACAAAGCCTACTATCATTATAATCGTAGTACTATAATAGGCTACGGCTACAGTAACAGCAGTCTTTAGGCTGCTTCACACAGTAACCTTTAGCCGTTTCATTGATGGGCTATAAAAGAGTAAACGCTCTGTTTTAGAAACCTACAGCAAAATCTACCAAAGCATGCCAAAAATTACCAAACCATACCAAATACGAAGTTAGCTTAAACGCTTATGAGCAAAAACACCAGAGTATAAGATCTCTCTGGATCTCTCTATGGATGGGCGGAGTGACCGTTTATCACTCAGTAATATGCTAGCCACTGAAGAAGTCTGTTAACTGACTGTTAGCAGTTAGTATTTTCCTCCAAGCATGTTCAGTTGTCCAGTGTTGATGTGTTAATGGCAGTTTAAAAAGATGTGGTGGTGCTTCGCATTACACTGAGACACCATGTGCTATCATCAGCCCTCCCAGGTTGCTAACATTGTGTAATGAGGGAGATCAGTGAATAAAATTGGCTACAACTAAACTGGGAAAAATTTGGGGAAAAAAGTACCATTTAACCTAATTAATTTAGGTTGGACTTAAGATATATAATATTGAGTTGCCAGTTTAAAGTGCTATGCTACCTGGCCGGGTGTCCAAGAGAGCATAATTGGCATCACTCTCTCTGGGTGGTTAGGATGGCCCTTCCCTTTCCCCATGCTAGCCAACGTGGCGTCTGCTGGCCAATGTAACAGAACTGGCAGTTAGCATTCTCCTCCAAGCGTGTTCAGCTGTGCCATAACATTGCTTTTGGCAGTGGCAGTTTGTAAACATGCAGTGGTGCTATATGCTTTCACACTCCCAATGTTGGTAGTGTTGTGTGATTGGGGAGACCTTACTAACAGGTGGAATTAGATATGACTCAAACTGGGGAGAAAATTGGGGAAAATGCCAACCTTATAGGACACGTTTATGGCCGGTGCATGGATAGGTCAGTTATTTAGTATGTGCTGTTAGCATGCGGACCAACTTTTACTTGACAAGTATTTCTGTAGTTTTGTCCCACAGAATCACAGTATATTTAGCATTAAAATCTCAATATGATATTTTGTCCACGTTGTGCAGTCCCGTTAGAGGGCTTAAAGACCAGTGGCATTGCAGGTCCATTTATGAACTTTAGCTTATAACATGTTCTTGTTTGACAGTTTATTTAGCACATGGCCTGACCCTGTGGTCTTCATGTTTGTAAGGTCATGTGCCATGCTAGACTCCTCTCACCTACTAGACCCCTGGGTCAGAGTGTATAAGATGGATGGCTGTGTGTAGAGATGACTCTCAACATGGCAAGTGTGTGTGGGAGTCATTTGTTTCCTGGGGCGAGGCACGAGCAGATATGTGTGGCATTTGTCTAGTTTAAATTTAGTGTAACTGAAGCCAGCACATACTGCTCTGCATCAGCTTGCTCTCGCATTTAAGCAAGGAACAAGAAGGAGACTAGAATGTGGAGCATCAGACACAAAATCTGTCCCCGGGTCATATGGTTCCAGTACCAAGCTGATCATATCAAGCATTTATACATGAATGTCAGTTGTCAACAACAATAGCAAATGAAGCTAAATCTGGGGCAAAATCACAATAACTGCCAAGCAAGAATCTTTGCATCCAGTTTTTGGGAATTGCCACAACATAGGCAAGTGAACAGCAGTGCTGCAACACACCCAACAGAATTGGTCAGTACTGATGATTACCATTACCGTTAGAGATAGCACAATAGCACTTCTTCTTTTCTATTACTTATTGAAACCTTGAGTATTGGTCTGACACTCTGATGCCTGATTTTGGATCAGTGCTGTCTCTGATTATGGCTTTCTCACATTTTTCCATGTTCTAGCGCGATATTTTTATACAGTCATATGCAAAAGTTTGAATACCCTTGGTCAAATATCATGTTTTGTTGGTTTTCTAAGTGAAAATACGTTAGCACGTCAATTTAGACAATTTAAAAAGTGCAACACTTATTTTCACTTAGAAAATCACCACAACAAAATTTGACCAGGGCCGCCTAAACAGCTTTATCCTATATGCGGGTACAGAATCCAAAACTTCATTCAGTCAGTGCTTCATTATGTTAAATCAAGCGCTCAGGATGGAATTTAATAATCCATGCAGTGGCTGAATATGTTCTAGAGACATCTTGGACCAAATGTCTGTGCTCTTCAAACTAGCTCACAAGATATGAACTTCTTTTTACTGTAGTGATGTTTATTTGTATCTATTCTATTGATATATGTTGTTTTTACAAGTAAAAACACACTCACTGCTGAGATTCATGGTATTAGATGCCCAAGACAAATATAGTATATTCCTTCTTGGTTTCTGTTTGGGTTCATGTTAACAAACTGCAAGGTTTCCTTTAGTATAATTGTAAGAGAAGAAAGTAGAACAGAACAATCAAAGCAAGGCATGTGAGATTTATAAGACTTTCTGTTAGCGTACAGTAACAGTGTGGCTTCATTAACTTTATTATTACTGACTTAAATATTATCTGACATCATTCTACCATAGTATATGTGGGAAATCCTGAGATACTGAATATTTCAGTACCACCCAGCAGCACTACCATGTATTGCATGAGGGTCATGAGCAGCATGGCACCACCATGGAGCCGTACTTCAGTCATAGAGGCTTTTTATCAAGGGTTTTTTAGAGTTACTAAGCTGTCCAAATTAAGACATGTTTAACTGGGAAACTCTTCTACACCCAGTGTCAAAAGTGCTCTCTGACCTCTATGCTCATGTGAACTCGCAGAGGGGTGCAGGCATGCTATGCTGTTGATTTTCATTCATTGATTTGTACTGATAAAAAAAAATCAGTGTACATCCTGGACAGCAAGGATAGCATTTGAACTAGTTCAAGTTTTAGTTGCAGACTGGTGTGGAGA